CGGTATGGGAAGGGGTGCAGGGAGCAGGGCGCAGGGGGTGCCACGTGCATGTGTGCACGCACATGCACATGGTCAGCAATATCACCAAAAAGTAGTAGAAGGCAGCTCCTCAACTGCCTACAGGTAGGTAGAGAGGGAAGGGAGGTATAGGCAACACAGGGGGCATGGGTGGGCAGACTGAAGTAGCGGTGGCCATGGTGAGGGAGGGAGTGGGGTGGGGTTGGCAGCTGGGGGCACTGTCCAGTTGGAGCGGTGCTCAGGGCTGGGATAGGAATGTGCAGCTGCAAGGTCCAGCTAGAGCAACAGGCAGCTCATCTGAGGGGCTGGATGGGAGGGCCAGCTCCCCACCACTACGTGCAGTCTCAGGGAGCCCCACACCATCTGTCCTGCTCCCCCTTCCTCCATTGGGGTTTATCTTCTGGGCCACACAAGCCCCCAGGGGGAGGGCAGCACGGCAGGGAGCCCGGAGCCCCGCAGCATGAAGCCCGCATCCTCCCTTGGCCTTCACGGGCTCTGCTCAGTTCCACTTGAGGCATGTTCCCCACTGGGGGTGGCAGCTGGGCTCTGTGCTCCACTCCAGCTGCAGCAGCCACTGCCTCCCACACAGAGCAACTGCGGCTTGAGTGCTGCTGGGCAGCTGTGGCTGGGGTCCACAGAGCAGGCAGCATGCAGCCACTGGGTCCCGTAACCCTGGCAGCCAGGGACTCCCTGCAACAGGTCAGAGCAGGGAGGCATAGGGGCCTGAAGGGTTGAGAGTGAGTGGCCCTGGCAGGGATGGAGGATCTGGGGGTGGGCTGTGGCTTGGGAGTGAGAGGAAACAGTATATCAGCTGCTCAGTACCACAAAGTAGCTAAGAGGGACAACTGCAGCTGAACCAGCGTCCTGGTAAGCAAAAGGAGGCAGAGGAGGTTTGATTTTCCATGACAAAAAAAAGCAAAATCAAATGCCAAAATATATAAGTATTTAGAAATTATTTTATTATAATGACTGAGGCACTTGTAGGCTTTCAGACTGCTTTAAAGTTGTAAACGCATCAATAAAACAGTGTTGAACTAATACACACACACACACACACACACACACACACACATCTATAGATACCTATATCTAGATACACATACAGATATCTGTTTTTGTATACAGATCTACATCTACATTAGGGGTGTGCGAAGCAGGCTGTATTTGATTCAGATTTGCCCCAAATGAGGGGACAGTGATTCGATTAATTGATTAGGATCACTGTCCCGATTCGATTTGGCCGAATCCAAATCTTAAGATTCGATACTGATTTGGAGAATCAGTGATTCAGCCATAGACACAGCTTTAAATGTTTTTTCTACATACCTCAAGGTACCAGGCGCGGCTCGTGACTGTTGAGATGGTGGGGCAGATGGAGCATCCCACAGTGGAAGTTCTTCCGGTCCACTTCTGGGTCTATCACAGAGCACACGGGGGGTCCCCCCCGCAGCCCCCCACACCCAGGAAGCACCAGTCACCAAGCCAGGGGGCAGGGGGGCCCCCCATACACTCCCCAGTGGACCCGAAGTGGACTGGAGGTGCTTCTGATCCACTTCTGGGTCCGCTGCTGAGTGAGCTGGGGACCCCGCCCCTGCGCTCCCATGGGATACTCCATCCGCTCCACCATCTCAGCATTCATGAGCTGCCTGGTACCTTGAGTTATGTAGAAAAAGCATTTAAAGCTGCGTCTGTCTGAATCATCGAATCTCTCCGAATCGATTTGGAAGGTTCCAATTAGATTCAGAGACATTAAAGTGTCTCCTGGTTAGATCTGGATTCGAAGATTCGACCACCAGATCTAGCAGAATCTCCGCCGAATCAATTAAGCGACCAAAACTTCGCACACCCCTACTCTATATATTGATCTCTCTCTATATATCTATATCAATCTATCTCTCTATGTATATAGACAGACAGACCAATAGATAGTGGCATTTCATTTTAATCACGGAAAAACATAGATTTTGGGGTTTTAAATCAGAGAATTCTGGATTTTTTTAATCAGAGAATTTGGAATTTAGCAGAGAAAACCAGGATCCCTGATTATGAGGAATAAAGTAGTAAAAACAAACTGTAGATCTAAGCAAACAAGGAAGATCTTTGCTTTCTACCCCCCAAATAACTATATTAGTGTAGATAGGCATTTGAAATCTGCACAGTTTATTTATGTAAGTGTCCTGGAAATTACTGACATATGAACCACTTACTTGCGTGGATCCGTTGTAAATTGATAGTTTTTTCCAGTTCTCTTCGCAGTTTAACTTCTGCTCCATATTTTCCAACTGTTCCATCATCCACCAGTATGAAATGGGAATGGAGATTATTTAGGACGTTTAGTTTACTTAAAGGGTTTAACAGGGTTTGATATGGAGCAACCACCTGAACACAACACACAACAGGCATGATTTGCAGAGTCAAATCGATCACCAATTTACCAATTTGGTCCAGACACAATCAATAGAGACACCACCAACACCTTAAAACTCCTTTAGAAGAGCAATATGAGCTGCTTTCTTGGTTTTGTTTTTGTTTTTGCAACTCTACCATACAGGAATTATGCACGTAAGTCTAACAGAGAAAGAAGGTCTCTTGTAAATTAAAATCCTGTTCTGTTATTCATAGACAGACAGGGAGAAAATAGTAAAAGGTAAACTCATGAGTCAATGAAGACTCCTATTAAGCTGGGTGTGCTATTACAGCTGCATTATAATTGGAAGACCCTTTTGGAAAGCTGAGACTTCAGTTGCAAGATGACAATTAAAAAAATGTAAATTAGACCACATAATTTTCTACTTTAAATTATACAGCACTGTACTGATGACACCTATGGAAGAGGAAAAACTTCTGCTCCAAGTGCCAGATTTTCTATTTTGCTAAAATTCTGCTCAGGCACAACAGTATGGACTACGGAGACCTTAACACAGAACAATCAAGCTTCCTGGTCCCGCTACAAGAAAGCAGCTCTAGTTCATGCCACAAAATGATTAGGTACAGTGGAGTGCTTCTCTATTAAGTTCACTCCTTATCTGAACCTCCTACTCCAACAATGGGGTAAATGGCTGTCAAAGGGAACAAAAGAGTACCTCTTAGTGGGAAGATATCTCTACCAGCCACCTCCTGCTTTTAAATCCACTTTGCTCTCCAATTCTGAAAAGTGGAGATTCTTCAGTATGTCTGAAAGTCTCCCCAACAAAGGGAGTCAGGATATAAGTTTAACTTACAGTGGGATTTGTGTTTCTAAATCCTTTGGGCACTTTTCACATTGTCTGCGCTACTCTATTATCATGTTCTGTTATTTACTGAGAAAGTTTCCACTATCTGCAAGTTTCTCATATTTGTTTTCAGATCAAGATTGCTTGTTCTGGGAAACCTGAGGCAGCAATCTGTGGCTTTTCTGGACACACATACACACTTCCCTGAATTGTCATCCTAGAAATTTTTATTTCTTGGTCTTTGCTAGTGTAGTAATACAGATAATTTACATTCACAATCTTTTGTAAAATATTTCACCTGTACTTAAATTGAGGAATAAAATGTAGAAGTTAAAGTAATCTACTTAGCATTGCATCTTTGGCAGATTTATCTCTTTCCTTTACTGAATTAGTGTTTGTAACTTTGCAGCAATATTCCTTTGCAGCTCCCAGCTTACTACTCACAGCAGAAATAGCGCAAGTCCAATTTCACAAAGCCAGTAAGGCAGCTTGTTTTAAAACTGATCTCAACAGATCCATCAGATAAAATAGTTAATTCAATTGGGCAAACTTATTCTTACATCTCTTCCAACAAGGTCATTTCTGTTTTCAATCACTCCCCATGGGGCTATGCCAATAGTACAAATCTTTCGACACGATCTGGAAGCATGTTCTTTGAGGGCATCACCAACATGTTTTGCAACACCTGGTCATTCAAAACAAACAATGTCTAATCAGCATCAATTATCAATTATTTATCAATTATAATGAATTTGCTAGCTATTCTGAACTATTAATATCTAAGAAATCCTTTAATAGACGTAAATGCATGGTGTTCAAAACATAGCAAAGACAAAGAATGTGATTTAATAACATCACAGAATAAATGCTAGATTTATAAGACAGAATCACTTCCTAATATTTTTACTGATCATGACACTGAACAGAAGAAGAGAAAATAAGGAAGTGACGCTTTTCACCCAACACTTTCAAAAGCAGGTATATAATATTTCATGTCTTTAAAGAGCTGTGAGGCTCATATTATATAATAATTCCAAATTTGTGAAGTATACCATCACAAGTTCAAGTGCTCGAGGTATTTGCTTTCTAACAGACTATAAGTTGACAGACTTTACTAAGCATTTTAGATATTTAAATATTTTATTCCTTAAATTAGGCAGACATGAAATATGCTAAGTTTCATGAGTTAAATTTGTTATAAGAGTGCATACATTAATTTGTACTTATTTGAAGTAAACAGGTTTTTACATTTCTTTACCTGTATTCACCCCTCCAGTCAAAATCCAGGCTCCTGTTGTTACTGCAGCTTTAATAAGACCTTTACCAAGCAATTGTTTGATGCGTGGGTGAAGTTCAAACTTCTGCATTCCACCATGTACAGAAATAACAAGCTTGGGCAGCTCCATCTGCCATTCTCTAAGCATAAGTTGCAGAATGGCTTCAGGTTTAGTGTCATATGACAATCGCACATACTAAGAAACATAGAAAAGTTTGAGTTAGAAGGTTTCCATCATAAACCATAAATAGGTTTCCCATAATAAACCGTAACTGGTAAAGAAGAAATACAAAAACAGAAATAGATACTTATCTGGCCTATAGCAAAGTATAATCCATGGGTATTCAATCTCCAGCCCACGGGCCAGATCCAACCCGAGTCTCCCCATGGGTCCAAAAATTTGGCAATGGGGAAGCAGCAGCTATATTAATTGCAGCTCCCCTGCTGGCAAAATTGCCTGACTACATAAGCTGGATGACATGGACCTGTGAACTGGAGTGTGCCAGCATACAGCTGAATCCATCACATAGGATTGAGCTAGTGCACATGGCCATGCTACCATGCCAGATCACACCACTGGATTGACCCTGTGCACCAGATCTGGCCCATGGACTAGCACTCTGCACCCCTCATACAGCCCACAGGGCTACAAGATTAAAACAACAGTGGTATAATTCACTTTTATAAAGCATGGCAGATGCAGCTGATGGTCACGTGTAAGTTTTTGCAGGTTCTTCAAAGGCTCACAAAATATACCTAATGGGGATGACAAGCTCCAAGGACTGCAAATAGGTGATGTAATTCCTTCCCAATGCCACTATATTCCACAAAATTGCCATGCATTTGAAAAACTAGATTACTGGCAAAATACAACTAATTACATCTCTCCATAATATACAAAAAGATAACTGTAGAACAAACACGATCACCTCTGTTTTCCCTTCCCATTCATATTCCTTAAAAGGCAAAGAAACTTACCAGTACGCTATTTCTCAGTAGAATACCAAAGCGAGCAAGTTAAGTAAAAATACTGTTTGAAGAACATGAAGACCAAGACCAACTTAGAAGACAGTACATCAGACAAACTACTAATACATCCTTAATATAAACTACATTGTCACAAAGAGGCAGCAACAGAAACAAAGTTTTACCTGGTCAAATTCCCAGTGGGTGAGTGTCGATACCATAGACCACCTCATATACAAGCCAGTATTTTATTTATTTATTTATTTTGTTTTTACTTGCCAGCTCCTTCAAGTGAAGGTCACTTTTATAGTTTGAAAATGTATTAAGGGATTACACAATGGATGTGGGGCAGGAAGCCACCTTTGTTTCTCCCCAAAATCTCTGCCCTGTGACAATTTATAGTTAGGATGGGCCCAGCAGAGGAGACAGACCTTTACCCTATCTCTTTAGGTAACCTGAGCTGGATACATTCCTGAAGGAGGGGGGGAACCTGCTCCTTCTGCCTATGTGACTGGTATCAGCTACCTGGGTGAGGGGCATCTACCTGGTGGGCTAGAGTCTGCCTGGCAACTAGTGATGTATTTCAAATTGGTTGGCCGACAGCCAACAGCTGCTGGCCTCCATTGGACCAGATGAATGAGGTCACAGGGGCTATATAAGTTAAGACTGCCCAGAAGGAGGCGGCAGCAGCCAGGCAGGGGACTCAGACTTAGAGAGGAGCCTTACCATCTGAAA